ACAAAAATAGAAACACAATATATACACTTCTGTTGTATAAAGCTATAGAAAATTGTATTTCACTGCAATTGTATAATTCGCAATTGTATAATTCGTTGACCTTTTTCTCTGCAATATTTGAAGTAAAATGTTTGTAAATTGTATAATGAAGTGTATAACACGAAGATATACATTTTTGCATGTGTATATACAATTTTCTCTCGCTTTGTACAAAACAATTATACACTTCTGTGTAAAAAGCGAGAGAGGCGAGCGAGAATGGAGAGTGGCGAGCGAGATTTTTGGGAGAGAGACACTGACAAATTTTAGCTAATGTTTGTTGTGGAGCACAATTAAATCAAACCCTAGCTATTCCATTTAATTTAGGTTATTGGTTTGCTATTATATACAATTTTTTCTTTATTTTATTGTTATTTTACGAGAAATTCGGAGAGTCAATTTTAACATTGAAAAATATTTTTTTATTTGAGCAATTATTACATGAATTGTGAACATAGACAAAGAGTTAGAATCATAGAATTTAATTTAAGAATACTTTACATTTTACTATGCTTGTAATTCTTGAAAATTTAAGAAAAGAAAAATAATTTACAATTCACATTCTTCAACATTTTTTTGACTATTGAATCATATTTTTGACAACGTAATGTTCTAACTTATCAAAAAAATTTTAAAAATAAAATAAAAAAATATTTGCATAAATAGAGACACAGCATAAGAAAAGAAATTTCTTTTCTATTTAAATAGAATTAAATTGAATAAAATAATAATTTTTTTAAAACAAATATATACTTTTATTATAGCCCCCCACCTAGAATTGGGGGTCTATGGCCAATGCGCTATTCAACTAAGCATTATAGCCGGCCCTAGCAATCATCAAATATTATAAAATGTTACCATTAAATAGTTTATTCTGTTTATGTCAATTTCAAGAAAATTGTGTATCATATTATGTTAACTGATTTAAATAATGCATTATTTAAATAAAAATAGGATAAAGATCAATAATGTATTAAGAAATTTGAAAAAAAAACACAGAGAAACAGAGCTTATTTAATCAATACGCTCAAGAGTCGAGACTACTTTAGTTATATTTAACTGTCCACTGAGAAAATACTTTTTTTTACGGTTGAATCTTGTAACCATATTGTCTTGAGATTTTTTGAATTATTTATAAAAAGAACCACTACGATTAATATAAGTGGATATGTAGTATTGACAAAAAAAAATATTATTTGTTCCAAAACCACTTGTGTAACGTAATCAACCCATTTTGGCGAGTTTGGATATTGACCCATATCTGTTCAACTCGGCCACACAGTACATAATTGTTGAGTTGAAAAAAAATACCAATTTTAGGATGAGCTGCATTAACAAGGTAAAAGTTACAATGTAAAGTAGATTCTTAACTTTACACAAGAGACTTCCTTGCAACCAACATATGACAAAAATTATCACACTAAGACTGAAAATCAGAGCATGGAAAGGAACAACAGAAAACAAGTCTTCATAAAATCATACATAACACCATTGCTGGCTGCACTTCTCCACTCTAATATTCCTAACATAGGTTAGAATATGATAGACTTTAACCAAGGGGACCTGGTCAAGCCTCTTTATCCTCGGATTACCTCCCGGGGAGCAGCCTATTAAGCTTTGCCATAATTGAACTCACATCTCGACACTAGATGCAAGTTATCGCGAAAAACAGCACTTGGCAGACAACACATATTGCTCTCCATCACATTTATAAGAAGTAATCAGGGGTCCTTCGAGTTACATCCGGTTCTCCCCTTCTTGGAGCTGGATCAAACTGCAATTGCATGTTTTCCAGGGTGAGCCACAAATACAAGACCAAATTAGACGTTACATCCAAGAAAACAATTCTAGGAATACAAGATTATAACACGAGGCACTACTGAGGGATAAGCACCTGGATAAATGTGTGCCCTCTGCAGTCATCAACTTCCAAAATAGAGGCCATGTTTCCACATCTATAACAATAATTTGGTGCACTAAAAATAGTGACAACTTTTTGTTCCTGTAGTAGATGATACAATCAATTAAGGTATTTAAAAAGGGAAAGTATCACAAG